TGTAAACGACCGAGAAGTGGTCGTTGCGTATGCCAGTAGGCTACTCTCTGAGGCCGAACAGAACTACACAACTACCGAGAAGGAGTGTCTCGCTCTCGTGTGGGCTGTTCGGAAATTCAAGGCTTATCTCGAAGGCTACCACTTCATTGCGATAACCGACCATGTCGCCCTAAAATGGCTGCTTAAGCTCAGTGAGCCTAGTGGGCGCCTGGCTCGGTGGGTTATGGAGTTGCAGCAATTCGACTTCGAGATAAGGTACCGCAAGGGGACAGCGAACAGAGTGGCCGACGCCCTGTCTCGTCAGCCGGTCCCTGAAGTGCCCAGCTCGTCTGGTGAACCCGATCAACCTACGTTTGAGGTCGGAGTTTTAACCAGACGCGGTGCTAGGGAACAGTTGCGGTTACGACGCCTAACCGATGCTGAAGGTGACGAACCTTCACTCGGTGATGATCCGGCGGGTGACGCTAACGACGACGAAGCTCCTGGTCCTACGCGGCAGGAGACAGACGACCCATCATCCGACGGGGACAACGATGGTAACCCGCCGGGCAGCCACGGTGCTTGGTATGACCGCCTTCGCAACCTGGTCAGCAAACACCCTGGGCGATACTCGAGATACCAGCTTCGCGACGGTAAGCTGTATCGTGCTGTCTCGAAGAAGGATCGACCTACGACATGGAGGGTGTGTGTGCCAAGCGACCAAGTATCCGTGGTACTGCACGAAAACCACGACACGGCTACGGCAGGACATCTTGGGGTGAAGAAAACGTTAGCCCGAGTTGGTGGGGAGTACTTTTGGCCTAACTGGCGTCGTGAGGTGAAGGCTTATGTACGGTCTTGCGCCCAATGCCAGGCCTATAAAGTACCCCAAACGAAACCAGCTGGGAAAATGTACTTCCGACAACCCCAAGGACCGTGGTACGCAGTGTCTGCTGACCTAGTAGGCCCATTGCCTAGATCACAGCGGGGTCAGCGATTTCTGCTCGTGGTGCAGGATACCTTCAGCAAATGGACGGAACTCGCCTCCATTGCGTCTGCAACCGCAAAGAATGTGGTGACGAAGCTGAAGGCTGTCCTACTTCGACATGGAGCTCCGGATGTGTTGATTACGGACAACGGCACGCAGTTCGTCGGTAAACTGGTTCGAGAACTGGCTGCTGAGTGGGGCATCACGCTACAGACAACGGCCCCCTACAGCCCGCAGTCGAACCCAGTCGAGAGGCAGAACCGAGTGGTGAAGACTATGATTGCGCAGTTCGTGAAAGGCAACCATAGGTCTTGGGACAACCACCTAGTGGAGTTTCAGTACGCCCTTAACACAGCTGTCCACGACTCTACTGGATTCACTCCCGCGATGCTGTGTTTCGGACGTGAACTGAAGCCTCCCTGTGCCGTCCGTGGCCTTTCGCTTGAGGTGTCTGAAACTCCCCAAGGTCCCTCGTTAAGTGAGACCCATCGCAAACGACTGGATGAGTTTCAGCGTCTGATCGTGCAGACACACAAGAACCTCAAGGCTGCCTACGAGAGGCAATCGACATATTATAACCTCCGTCGTAGGGAGGTGACTCACGAAGTTGGCGCGCAGGTGATGAGAAGACTTCACATCCTGTCTTCCGCTGCGGACACCATCGTAGGGAAATTAGCACCAAAATATCATGGCCCCTGCATTGTGGTCGGTCGTCGAGGTGCTAATCTCTACGAGGTACGAGACGAGGATTCTGCTGCGGTACACGTCGTGCACGTGAAAGACTTAAAACCTTTCTGTGCACGTGGCTAATATGCAAGGATCCCGCAACCGCAGCAACGTATTGCGATCCGTTTGTTCATCAGTCCTTTCGGCCACGTCAAGCTGCCGACAAGCAGCCATAGATAACCCTCGTCTGGGGGGTGACGTATCATCGTGAGCAGCTCTTAACCGCGCGTCCGAGACTCCGAGCCTGCCGTGCTACCCTACCTTCGTCAACCCCACCATCTTCGGTTTTCCTTCGCCCCGAGTCGTTTTCGTTTAGACCTCTGAGGCAACCCGGCTTCGTTCGCTTTTCGTCGTCAACACCCTGAAGCAGCCGGACTAACGGGGTCCGGCATCAGCTTCTGTCAACTTTTCTTGCCCACGATCCTACTGATGTGTCACCTGCAGGAAAGCTCAACAGCTTTTTTTCTTTTTCTCGTTTTTCTTTTTTTCGTTCCGAAGTGTGGAGGGGGTGTAACGGGTCAAATGTGTAGGGGGTAAAATAACGGCTAAACCACGAAACTTAAACAGCTGAATGTAAGCTGTTGTTGTGCCCTAGTCGCGGCGCTAAACTGACATCGCACCTAACCTCCAATTCCAAGACAGCAGACGACGTTGGTGTCAGTTTGGTTGTTTGGTTGTTCGACTGCGTCTGAGGGCGGGCTACGGGAGAGAATAAGAGCAGGTGATCCACTTTGTGAGCGAGGCAGCTATAAAGCATGAAAAGCTGTCATACGCCTGCCTTTCCTGACACGGGACTCAGCTGACTCTGTTTGTGCTGACCAATCAGGAAGCGTTTTAACTTTCGTCTCGATTCTGAGACGAAGGTGAGGGAAGAAGAAGAGTTGTGGAGGAGAGTTGTCATTCGTAATCCCGGCTTTTGGTAAGTTTGTTTCGCTTTTGGTTCGTTCTCGAAAATTCGTGCAAGTTAAAGTTCGTATCGCAAGCTCTGAAAGCTTAAGTTCGTACGTATTGTTTCGTAGTGAATATTTTGATATAATTTCGTCATCGGGTAAGTTTTGTAACTAACTTACAGATTATTGTATATTACTTGACCAGTTTTCGTGTACGAAACTTGGTTGAACTTGAAGGCTAGGCCTGATTCGCAGACCTAGTCATACGCCTTAACCAACAATTTGAGTAAAGTACTGCAGTTGGTGAAATATATTTTCAATTACGTTTCATAATCCGTCTTGGGACTTTCTTTTTTTAATTCTTAAAACCCTTTTTTTAAAGTTCCCCAAACGTACCAAAGTCTGTTCCAGCAGACAGGTTTCTGCTGGACAAGTTCTGTCGAAGTTGGTCTAAGTTGAACACGTGAGGAAGTTAAAGTTTTAGTTTTTCGTTTTTGGCTCAAGGAGCAGTTTCACCTTTTTAGTTTCGTTTTTTTTTGTTCGTTCCTCACCTGGACCACTTAGGCTAACTTGTTTTCTTATCATTTTAGTAAATTCAGACTCTGTGGGAGTTAGGCTAGGTTAGGCCTATCTTGTACTAACCTTGTTTGTTTCAGGGTGACGACGTAACTCCGTAGGTAAGCGGAGTGCCTACTTAGCTTACTTGTTGATTTGTTAAGTTAGCTAGTAGTGTGTCATTTAGATATTTGCCCACAGAGTCAAGTCAAAATTATTTATTTCCCCACAAGCCCTAGGCTAGAGTGGTGATTTCGAGTAGGGTGTTTAGTAACCCGCAACGTTCGTCTCGAGCTCTGACAACCAGGGCTATCAAAGTTAGGCTATCCGAATCACTATCGACTCCTGGGAAACTCCCCGCGACCAGACTAGGGCGAATCCTGGGATCTCGTTTTCTTACCGGTGGCGTAATTTACCTCTTGTCGTCCGCCAGGAAAATTACGTCACATAATCATCAACAATAGGTCGTCTCCTATTTATATTACAAGAAATTAAAACACACATCATAGAACTAACCCTAAAATAATAGAAACAAAATTACGTCAAAACTAACGTCCAGTGTCACCAACATGAACTACACATTGAAAAATTTTGAATTAACAATGTTATGATGAGAAGTCGGCTTGAGTTATATTTAATCCATGGTCGTACTGCATCTAGGTTATATTTCCAAAGCAAAACAGAGCAATATATTCCGGCCAAGCGTACCGATCCTTAGGCCTGAGGAGAAAATGACAGCATTATATAATGGTTCTTTAGAGGGTATTGAATTTTTCTAAAATTGAATGCAAACTGAGATTAATATTTTTTCGTTAATTTTAAAGGTAAATAAATCATTGTTGTTTTAATATTCAAAAAAACTTATGATATATTTAACTTGATCCTGCAGATAGTTGTAAACTAATCAAACGATTAGTTAATAAATAACTTTTGTTTTGTGATGTGAGGGTTGTAACAATGTCATGTCTAGCACGCATGCGCCCCTTATCACTCTGATCAGTAGTGCCGAGTCCGAGCCAGAATGGCAGTGCAGTGGCAATACGATGCGTATCCCTTGGGCGCTCGTCAACGTCAACATCCCTACAGCCTACTCCCGTATAACCAATGTTCGTTACCAATTTTGTAACGAAATTGATGCGTAATTCTGAAAATATAGTTTACATTTCATAACATTTATTTCTTCTTATGAACTTCAGAATCACAATGCTTTGGAGTTTTTTTTTATCAACTGTGACTATTTATTTTTATATTTAGATAGCCTAGGTATAACAAAAATACTCTCGGCCGTGCGCCCTCTGGGACCTTGCGCCCATAGGCCCGGGCCTACTGGGCCTATTGGGAAATCCGGCCCTGTCTGTGGGGAGATGGGATATTATATAACATTGAAAAAAATTAGATAAAATAATACATATTAACAAGGAGAAACATTTAAAATAACTGATAATATATTATTAGGGGCATTAACAAACATTGTAGGAGAAAACACACAAAGAAATTAATATTAATGATTAATGTAATACTACACGTGGCTAGGGGGAGCGAGCTGGCGTAGTGGCTAGAGCGCGGGACTTCGGTCCGTGAGGTCCCGGGTTCGATCCCCGCCAAGTCACCAATGGATTTTATCTAAGTGATAATGCCGCAACCCCTAGGTCTAGCCTGAAGTAATGTGAAAAACAATCCCAGGCTCGTGCCTAGCGTCCTAGGACAAAAAAAAAAAATAAAAAAAAAAATACTACACGTGGCTATGTGTAGGGTGCAGCTGACCAAAAATATCCATATTTTGTGTTTGTATTATTAAGTCACCGGTAGGGTACCTATATTTATATTGTATGTAGACTTACCTAACCCTAAATAATTTTCAGTATCTTCTTGGAGATATTGAAATGAGGATGGATCAAATAAACGAACTAAAAGCAGAACTGGAAAAGTCAAGCAATGAAATAATAACCTGGAAGGAAAAATACTATGAACAGGTAATATTAGTTCGTTAACAGCCCTAAATTGAATGGTGCCTTGAGTTCAGTTTAAAAGTAAAAAGTAATAATCCTTGCCCACAACCAAAAAAGAAGTCTCTGGGCCATGTTAACACGTTGAGCGGCAAATGAAACAACGTCTCACAGCAATGGCTAAACTCACAGTGGACAAATAGTTTATAATGGTGCTTTGACAAGTATACTCATCGCCCGCCACTAAGAAGCACTAGCAGTGATGAGATTACGCGTCATGCGCAGCTAACGTGTTAACAAAGAAATTACTTCTCTGAGAATTTTAATTTGTTTATCCAAACTTTCAGGCTTATATTGTTGAGTTACTTTAACTTAAGCGTCCTTAACTTATGCTTTGACTTAAGTTTCTTAACACAAAGATGGCTTTTGTACTCACAATTGGTGTACTCACGTATGGTTATTTGTTTTTTACACTTTGATTTAGGTCTTTGATCCAGGTCTATAGTTATTTGTGCAACTAGTGAGCAAAGTAAGCAATTGACTCACTCGAGAGAAATACTTACTCACAAGCCGTAGGCGAGTGAGGAATGGTTTCTCGAGTGAGGCAATTGCACTTTGCACTCGAGTTGGGCATTATATTTTTCCTACAGATACCATAAAACAAATAAATTGGTAAAGAAACGTGACATATTTTTACACAGAAGTGAACTTTTAATATTACTTTTAATAATACAACAGTATAACAGCTGACCAGCTGATTTACAACCAGTGCTGCCAACGTATTTCGTGCGCATACGACCTTGTCTGCATGTTACGCGCTCACTATTTCGTGCCTTCACGTTGCAAATCTGGAGTGAGTGAGACAAAGTAATTAGAGTGGGACAATGTTAACATTGTATCACTGATGAGCGAATTTGCCACTTTGCTTTCTCAAATCAGTGAGAGAACATGTACATTGTTAGGTAATTGTAGGAAAAGGTTTTTTTTTAGCTTAAATAAAGCATTTTCAAATAATATTATTATTGTTCAATGTTTTGACACTAATTTAGAGATATAAATGTGAGCAAAGCTTCAGACAAAACAAAACCATGTATTTCTATAGAGATAATTTAAATTTAGATTTATCTAGGCCTAGTTATTTTTTCAAAACATATTATGTTCAAATCAAAGTTCATTTTCATCAAATGTAGCTTTCTTACTTTGAACAATGTATTGTTGTTTTCTCTTTTTTTCAGAAAAAGCAAGTTGAGAAGTTTAAACTGAAGATGAGTGATATGAAAAAATCAAATAAAGTTGTTAATTCAAAGAGTTTTAATGGACTGGACTCAAAAGGAAAAGAATTGCCACCTTTGCCATGTAAATCAAGATTCATGGGTGGAGGATTTAACATATCTAACAGTTCTATATAAACAACAAAAAATGGTTTTGTACATTTATATATTGGTATAGAAAAATTAATAGCCCATAAACTACTGAAGAATGTTTTTGTCATTGGATACCTCCTTGGAATAATATTTGATCTATATTCATAGGAGAGTTCAACTAAACGTAAAAAATGCAGGGATCTCGTATACGAGTGAAAATTTAAAAACGTACGTTTTCATGTCCCTGGCCTTTTACTTCGTAGATACTGGATTTGTAGTTTATTATTATGTGTTTTAATATTTTTTGGGACGGGGGCAACATGTTACACACATTTATTTGGTTTTAAATAGGTTCTAGGTATTTTTTTCATATTTTTAAAGTCTCAAAATTCACGACCATGACGTGTCCCTAGGGTACATTTTCCAACTTTCACGCTGTTTTTAGACTAATTATTCATGCCGAAATATATAAAGCCATATTTTTATGTCATCAATGGTTATTAAACTTACAAAAAAGGAGCATATTATAATTTAATTATCATTGCTAACTGACTACCATGACAAAATAAGTCTGTCCCTCGATTTGGCGTCACGACCATTTGGGAAACATTTTCTACTTTGGAGCACGACAGTGGCAAGCCTGGCGTCGATGGAGTCATTTGGTTTTAGAGACTAGTTCGGGGTGTACGTCAGGATTGTAGTACCGGTCGTTTCGAGTTGAAAGGATGAATTACAAGATTAATAAAGGAAAGATTGTGTTTTTTGTAATTTTGGTGTGTCCATGACCGTACGTAGTCATTCGATGAAGTAGAGTAGACATGGTGTTAATTTTTGTTTATAAGATATTTCAATTGCTAGATTAATCTTGAAGTCCACTTTGTACCCTCGAACATGAGGTGCAAGGCTACCGCCAGAACAGAGCCAAATAACACGTAATTTCACGACCAAAGTTTCACGACCATCGCGGGTTTTTTCACGACCAATGCAGCCTTATGGATTATAGTGTGTTTGGTCGTGACAATAACTTTAATATAATTATAAATTGAACAGTTTAGTTCAATTGAAACACATATTTTTATTATAACTAACAGTATAATTGAAGGATTGTTTAGAAAGATTTAGATTATTTTAGAAAATTCACGACCGTACCGCTTGTCCCTGACCATCACGTTTATGATTTCTATCATAAAAATTTCAAAATTTAAAATATCCTCATATTTCAATGTTTTATACACAAAAGAAGCACATCTCTATACAAACATAACGATTTTTTGGGTCTCAGGTAAGTTTTTTCAGAGTTATACATACTTAAAAGATTTTATTGGCTATTTTTCAATTTTTTGAGTTTTTTATTTTTTTCTAGAAAGACCAAATATACCGAAAGCTGAGTGACCTTTTTATTGTATAATGGTCATAAAAGTAAATTAGTTTATAGCAAAACATAGTTATAAAAATAATATTAACTATTTTTAATATTCATTTAAACGTCTGTTATGGTCTTGACAGGATTTTGTGTTTTTCCACTAAAGATGCTCTTTTAAAAAAAAACTACCAAAGATATTGCGTTACCATGGACATTTTATGAAACTTAAAATGTTAATAAAATAAAAAAATAATAAAAGTTTTGAAAAAAGGGGGAAAAAATTGCAAAGTGCTTTTCCTGAAAACGTACGTTTTTAAATTTTCACTCATACAGGGTGACTGAAAATTAACTTGCACCCTCCTTAACTTTTCAACCATTTGAGATATTTGAAATCGGTTTGCGGCAACATTCTTAGATATGAGGGGCTACAATAAATATGGTCAATTTTGAAAACTTTGCCCTTAGGGGTAGCGGTGGTAGGGGGTAGCTAAAAATTTCCATTGACAGGTATAGTCAATTTTGGTATCATTTTACAGGTCTTGATGAAACATAAACATTGACGTAAAGATAACCAAAATCGGCTCACTAATAACAAAATGGCGCCCTAAAACGTTTCAAATCCAAACAACCATGAGGGCGGCCAAAAATTAACTTTCACCCTCTTTAACCTTTTGACTATTTGAGATATTTGAAATCGGTTTGCGGCAACTTGTTTTGATATGAGAAGGGCTACAATAATTATGGTCAGTTTTGAAAATTTTGACCTTAGGGGTCTGCTACCCCTAAATACAATGACCCCAACCCAAACATTCACCTGCGTGAAGTAAAAACGCTCTTACTACACTTGTAATGTAAATAGCTATTACATGCCAATCCCGTACGAAGGACGGGTACTCTGCTAGTAGATATATATATATATATTTTGTTATTGTATACATCAATGAGGGCTACTTTAAATGTTACTAAGTAAATCAAAATACCACAGTACCCTAAAAACATTTTATTTTATATTACTTACATGTTTCGGACATTAATGCCATGATCACAGTATAGTACATAACCTATTAGTTTCTCTTATTTACAAACATTATTAGATATATTATTTCTTGTTAAAGAACAGGTGATAATTTTTATGTTAAGGGAAGGAGGTGTTTTCTTTAAGATTTATAATTTCATTGAATATTACGTTTTGATTTGGAATTTGTGTCAAGTTTAGTAAATAAATTGTCTTTGTCATTAATATGATGAGTATAAATATAAAAGTCTTCTTTTGCATTCATTTTTTCACCTTTATTTTCAACGTCCAGAATGTACATATTTTTATTCATTTCTGAGTATGTATGGTCGGTCTGAAGTATATGTTCGGCGTATGAGGATTTTTGTGTTGTCATATTGTTCGATCTTATTGCCTGTATATGCTCTTTGTACCTGACTTTGAATGTTCGACCTGTTTGACCAATATAGTACTTTTCACAGTTGTTACATTTGGGGGGTTGGGTCTCGGATTTGTTCTTTTTTGAATTATGTTAAAAGCGTTATTCCTTGTTTTAAAACTTAGTTTAAATTTTGAGTTCGGTAATGTCTTTCTTAAGGTTTTGTTTAAGGATGAGCTGAATGGAATACATATAATTTCTTTCTTTACGTTTACTTGTTCTTCTACTTTCATTCTTTTCGTTTTTTTCATTTTTTATTAATTTTTCAATCATTTTTTCTTTGTATCCATTTGTTCCTGCAATTCTTTTTATAGTTTTCTTTTCTATTTCAAAGTTGTCTTTAGACATTGGTATGTTAAGTAGTCTAAATACCATTGATTTGAATGTAGAAATTTTGTGTTGCCAAGGATGGTTTGACTCAAATGGACTGATTAGGTCAGTTAAACCATACGACAACAACCATACAAAAACCATTGGCTGTGTCGGTGGTATATATGTGTTTCCTATATATATTGAAATTATGTCGATTGTTTTCTTTAGTAGTCTAAGAAATTTATCTTCTTTTCTTGCGTCTCCATCGTAAATTTAATTGTTCTTTAACAAGAAATATCTAATAATGTTTGTAAATAAAAGAAACTAATAGGTTATGTACTATACTGTGATCATGGCATTAATGTCCGAAACATGTAAGTAATATAAAATAAAATGTTTTTAGGGTACTGTGGTATTTTGATTTACTTAGTAATATATATATATATTAAATTATTGTAGTAAATAAGTACAACTGAGCACCCTGAATATTATATTTTTTTTTTAAAGAAGTGACATGTTTTGGATATAAGTCCATTTTCAAACTTCAAATACATTAAATACTTAACTGTTGTTTATATTTTTGTTTGTAAATAAATATAATTTATATATACAGATTATTTATAGAATTAGACAGGATTTGGAAAAACATTTTTGTTACTGATTATTTCATTTTAAAATTTGGTCAAAGATTGGGTTTCTTGAAGGAATTTGGCTATTTAAAATATGATTTGGATTTTTTAGATTTTCTTCGTGTATATGAAATATTCTTCAGTTGAATCCATTCGATTTCCTTTGTTTAAAACTTTTAAAATTTTCATGTTGTTTTTTAAATTTGTGTAATTGTGGTTGGTCGATAAAAGGTGTTCAGCAAAAGGTTGATTTCATGGATGTTCTGTTGTTACTCTTAAGAGCTTGAATGTGCTCTTTGAATCTAGATTTAAAAGATCGCCCTGTTCTGTCTGACCAATGTAGAAGTGTTCACAATCAGTGCAGTTAATTTTGTATATGCCAGATTTGTCATAGATGTCTTGATGTTCTTTATTTGTAGTAATGTTATTTGTTATCATACTGAAAGCGTTATTTTTTGTTTTAAAGCCAATTTTGTATTCAGAATTTTGAAAAGTTTTTCTTGTAGTCCTGTTAAAGAGTTGTATTGAATGGGATACTAATGAATTTCTCTTTCTTCTTTCTTTCTTTGTTGTGTTCTTGATTTAGATTTTTCTTTCTTTTGATGTTTCTAATCATATTGTAGATGATGTTTTGCTTATATCCATTCCTTGATGCTAAGTATTTAATTTTGTTTAATTCTATCTCATAATTTTTCTTTGTCATTGGAATGTTCTTAAGACGATTCAAAAAACATAAACAATAACACGATTTCAAAATTTACAGAAAACCAACTCAATCAGACCTAATGATACCATCAAATTCTAACCATTCTTGGAAATACAAACTATCTGCTCTCAGATCCATGCTAAATCGTCTTTGGACATATAACATGTTGCATCCGTCCCAAAAAATATTAAAACACATAATAATAAACAAACTACAAATCCAGTATCTACAAAGTAAAAGGCCAGGGACATGAAAACGTACGTTTTTAAATTTTCACTCAGGTACCATGTCAAGGTCTGCGTATGAGATCCCTTGGCCTATCGACTGGAGATCAAAGGGAAGAACACGTTAACTTATCATAGTCAAAAGGATCTCATGGTTCACCAAGGACCTGGGATTTGACGGAGAATGAGGACCTGTGAATGAGGGCGCACAATAAGCTGTTCCAGCTGCGATGCAATCCCATGGTCATTTATAAGCCCTGCCCCCTGCCCTCTGTTAAAAAATTATCTAAACGGTACATTAAAAACAAATGCATAATGTTGGCTGGCATTAAACCACGTTTAATGCCAGCGTTTAACAACGTTTACCCACCGGAGTTAAGGAACACATGTTGACAAAAACTAATGTTTCCTAATAACACTACTTTTTGAACAAAAACCTTTTATGTTGGAAACAGTTTTTTAGT